GAGCAAACAAAAGAACGAATGCACAAATGGATGGGGGATGGAGAAGCTGAGAATCACCCATCCATAAAATGTCTCAGAATCAGCCCAAGTCCACCGTTGATGATTTGTCGGATTGCTTCTGGTGCGTGCTCCCCCTCCGAAAAAATCCTAGCAACGCCCGAATGTTTTGAGATTTGGAACATGCGACGGTGTATGGACAGCTCACACCCTAGCACATGCCCAGTCATTATATGTCTCAGGCTGCATGACGTCATGTCAGTTCGTTCTATTTTTATCCTTCACGAGGTCAAATGTGCCGAAGAGGAAGTGCATTGTGATGACGGGATTTTTTGGCAGTTGTCTTTGGTCTTGAATTTCCTGTACATACGTATTTGAAATTGAAGGAGTGTTTTGCTATCTCCCAAACATTGGAAACTTCCTGTTATTGTGAAAGCAGTCGCATTTTTAAGGGAGAGTGTATCTAAAAAAAAAAGCTTAGAAACATCCAAAGATTGGTTGTAATGAGTAATAAGATGAGTAATAAGATGAGTAATAAGATGAGTAATAAGAAAGGGATTTCTCATCCTCATGATTCTTGCATATTATGGACAAAAGACCAGCTTTCCAATGAAATGTTGATTTTGTTTGAGATGTTATATAGACAAACGAAGGAACGCCACACGTTCCTGCGGATTGTTGGCTTGTTTATTTCCAGTTCAGGCGCAACATATGAATTTCCCAAAGTAGTAAAAAATGGCCGTTTTCACCAAAAAGGCTAAATTTATGTCTCCTCGTCTGACTGAGCACGCACTGAAACACATGTTGCTTCCTGTTCAATTAACTGCTGCACATTTTTTTAAACAGAGTAATACATTGTTGTCCGACGACTGATTGATGTTCTGCCTCCTTTTTATCACTCATTGACCACTGTAAAAGTAAATCCGTGCCGTGAGAGAATAACAGATTGCGCACTTTTACTTAGCAACGATGGTCCGGACCAGAAACTTTGGTCAAAAGCTTCAATCCTGGCCAAGAAATCTCGTTGGGCCCCCACTTGCTGGCCCCTTTTCGATTACGGTGGGTCTCAATGCGCGATCTGCGCTCCAGATGACAACATTGACCGAGGGAGTGGAGGATCTGGAAAAGTTATGGGCTATTGACGTGTGTCCCAACAATTTTGTCCAGGATCATCTGAGTTTATACGTGCGTGTTATGCGTGCCATTCATGCGTATGCGGTGAGGTACTGCTAACTTTACATACTTGGATACTGTCGATAGGAAAACAGAATTTAAGGACTCTAGATCTCAACCTTGTTAACTTAATTAAAGTGGCAACAAGCTGAAATTTAAGGGACATTGAGCTAACAATGCATAAAATGTTTGTGAATTATCTGCGCTGCGCAAAGACAACACCGTAGGCCTAATGATTGCATTTCTTCACCGAATAGAGCGCGCATCATGCCCTCACAAATGCGGCTTGTGCGCGGTATACATGATACAATAACAACAGTCAGCCACAACACATTATTAAAAAATCTCTCTATGGACCTCTCCATTCCTTTGTCGTGGGCCGTTTGATGGATCATCGTTACATCGTTCGAGCCGATGACGAAATTAGGAAAAGCACACAGGATTGTTACGTGTTTTTCAAATTCGGGAACGCAGAAATTTTGGACAGTTATGGGCCCAAATGCCACAGTGCATCGTACAGGCCTACAATGAACTTTCACGAAACAGTTGTGATTGTACACATACAATACAACGTTGATACTTATCTGCCTGTCTCTTTTACTTGTACAATGTGTTCAAAGTATATCTTTTATTTAACTGCCGGCTGCCATTTTATGTTTTCCAAGAACAACACCGGAAACAAGCACACGCAAAACCACACATACAGCTAGTGTACATATGCACGAACACAATTCGTCAGACAATCCTGGCCAAATCTCGTTGCCCCCTTCCCCGTGTTGGGTCTCAATGCGCGATCTGCGCTCCAGCTTGAGATGACAACATTGACCGGGGGGGGGAGTGGGGGGGGCTGGAAAGGGTATGGCTATTGACACGTGTCCCAACACACAATTTCGCCCAGGATTGCTGGTCTTTGCTTATCCTAAAACTCTGCAAGGATACACCAACAAGTGACCGCTGTAGCTGGCTCTGGGTGCCATTCTTGGACACGGCCTTTAACCTAGTTGTAACGCACAGCGTGAGTTCACCAAGTGGTTGAAAGCCCGAGGTTGCAGGCCGGTAAATAGGTCCAAAATTGCCTGCGTGAAGCGAATCCCGATTTAAATTTGTAGGCTGTCGAATTCTCAAATTCTCTGCTATTAGAGCATTTCGTGGCACTTGGACTGGATGGTTTGTAAAGAAGGAGTATGGAATCTATACCAGCAGGACTGCCAGCTTGTATTTCTGAAAGTATCGGACCAATTAACAGGGCCCTAAATCGCTCTATTTTGCAACTGAGTGTAGGCATCGATTTTCAAAATTGTGATGGGCCTCATGACTGTTTTGAGGGGTGATTTTCTCTGCAGAGATATACATGTATTTTCAAAAGCCATCGGTTAAGGTACAAAAAACGGAGAGGAAAATGAAAGATGAGGAAGTCAGCTTTAATTTGATATGTGTCTTGAATCCCTGAGAAACGTGTATTTTTCCTGATTTCTGAAGTAGGGATATTAATCACTGTTTTCTATGGCAGCTTATTCAATGGTCTGCAACCCTCAAATTTGAATTGGAGACTCTGAGACGCTTGCTGGCGGCAGACAAACCGGTCCTTTGACAGTTCTGGGCATGCGCGGTTGTTCTGAGCACTCGCACAAGCGTGGAAAAGGACCACCTGCCGCAACCTAGCATCTCAAAGCCTCACATTTCAGCTGGAATGACTGATAAATACTGTAGCCTATTCACATAATCTAAGGTTGATACGAGGCGTTTCTTTAGGTGCGCCACGACAAGATGAAACGACCCCTTTTGCTGATGAGGGAGTGCTTCATGTTAGGGTAAACATGGGTAAATAGTTGTGTACTTGATTTGAATAGAGAAATCAAGATATTTGTGCTAAGCTGTTTAAGTTGGAATCAGTAGAGAATAGTATATGAAGCTATGCAACCAGATTTTTAAGAGCAATCGTACAGCAATGCGATCTTCGGCGTTGTGGAGACTGTTTTGCAGTGGTGGTGCGATAAAACAAGTGAGGCAACAGCCGTCGGGTACGCAAACCAAACTCGTCGGCAAAAAAAAAAAAAAAAAAAATCAGTCACCACTCACGACACGTGAAAGGAAGCGTTCCTATTGGCGCTTCCGTGCTAGAAGGCCACCCTCTAACTGCCACCATCCCCAGTGCACAATGCAGTCATCGTGTAAACAGAGCTAACAGTGAAAAATATGACCTGCCCAGTCAGCAAAGGTTTGTACATGTACTATTTTGCTGCAGTAACTAAAGCTTTTAAATCAGCCATATAAAGTTGAATTAAGGAGGTTGCAGTTCTTTGGATTCCCATGAGTCTCCCATCTCGTCCTCGGGAAAGTATATTTCGACTGTTTCTATTTTATTTACTGTTTCATTTTATTTACAGATATGACTGTCAACATTGAAGAGGAAAGAGTCTTATGTAAGAAATTGGAGCAACTTGAGACCAAACATTAGCAAAATGGAGACTGAATATGACCAAACCTCCCAGACAGTGAAGCAGGAAGCTAAAGATGCCATACGTTGTGACTCTCAAGGAGGTATGACGTCATCAAGGGACCAGCAGAGGATGGGACAGGACCGGCGTGCCTGTCCGGACAAGCCTCAACCTGAGCAAAAGGCCGAGGTCAAAGGACATGCGCTTGAAAGGGGGTTTGCAACATCATCTGGACGAAAAGAACTGAGACAGGAATGTGATCTCGGGGAAGCTCAGCAGAAAGTTACAAGGTTCAGCGAGTGTAACCTGCAGCAACAGAGTGTAACGCCGGCCGAGGAGGAGAACCTGCGACAAAGGAAGGTCTTTGACCAAGACAGATTTCAACAAAACCAACGGCAAGTGTCTGCAGCCAGAGAACATAGCATTGAAAAAAGATTTGTGGCATCCCCTGAACAAAAGAGGTCAGAACAGGGTTATGATTTAGGCAGGCCTGAGCAACAAGATGTGTGCGAAGGGAATGACAATTCCGAACAAAGTGTGAAATTAGCTGAGCAAGGGAGAATGGGACAGAGTAAGGTTGGTTATCTCGAAAATTGGAAAGCGAAGGGCTGTAAAGATGAAAGCACACAAAAAGGGATGGTTACACCATCTGTGGGCCAGAGAAAATGTCATCAGAGTACTGAATATCTGGACAGACCCAAACCGGAGAAACAGAAAGTGGAGATCAGAGAGCACAGTTCTCGACGAGGGATGAAAATGACACCCGCTGATCAATGCAGGTACAGCGGAGGGTGGGCCGATGACGATCAAGACAAACGTCATCTGGATGAAGGACTTGCAAACGTTGGAAACCAGATCCATCGGCAGGGGATGATGATGACATCTTGTGACCAAAAAGGACTCAGACAGACACCCCCAGGTATGCTAGCCCCTGATTTTTACAGATTTGGGGCTATGCAACCGGTTGTCGGAGACCTCATTGTCGGTGGCAGCAACAATCCTACCTTCCTCGCTCCGCTGTACTCTCCCACGTTGAATTTCGTCCAGAATGTAACAATGGCTGCTCAGCCAAAAGGTACTGGTTTTTGTTGGACTTGAAGAGGGGATATTTTTCTTGAACCCAGGCGTTTTGGGTTGGGAAAAAATATTTTAGTCGAGTGCCAAATGCAGCGCAAACGCTGATTCACTGAACAGAATTGCATTGTCGATGAAGGAAATTCTTACACTTCTATTTTTTGCCAAACAGGAACAGCAGGAGAACCAGAGAGAAGTAACCAGTCTTCACCACACATCGAATCGGGACCTTCCAGGTCGCCTGGCAACGTCAAAGATGCGAATCCAGGCTCAGGAACCACTTGTAAGTGTAAAGAAACATAAATGTCGTTACAAATGACCTCCCTACTAAAAAGCACAAAACCAAAATTCCTTGGCGGTAGGGTTTCTCCTCTTTTGTTACTGCGTGTGTGTCCTTGTCCAGGATGTTCTATCAATTAAAAAATATTTATGTTGAACTTCAGGTGAATATCGAAGTAACCCCAGTCCAAATATCGCCGGGATCTTATTCGGTTATTTGTTTATTTTATTCCAATAGGTGAATCGCGACAGACACAAATTGATCTGATGCAAGAAACCGCTGATTTCTGCCAGCATGAATTGGAAACACTCTATACCACCACAGGCTGTTACGTGCAAATGCTCCCATGGGTCGATGACGATACGCGGTATATCATGGAGATTTATACTACATTATGGTTAGAAAAATACGGCAATAAAGCAGGGGACAAGGCGTCGTACAGGGACATATTCTTGATTACAACAAAGGGAGGCAAGCTGATCAAACGGGCTATTCTGTGCGGCTCAGCGGGGCTGGGAAAGTCCACCCTCATTGCCAAAATCGCTTTCGACTGGGCGACGGGTTGTTGGACATCGACACTCAGCAGTGTACTTCAGGGATTTAAGCTCGTTTTTGCCCTGAAATTGCATGCTGTGGAGCAGGCCACAGATCTGATTGATGCCATTTTTGATCAGCTGCTTGATGAAGACACGCATGTTGATAGAAAGGCCTTGGCATCGTTCATTGACACCTACCCTGAAAAGGTCCTAGTCCTTCTCGACGGTTTTGATGAGCTGATGACCACCAACCTTGAAAAGAGCAGATTTGGTTCAGTTCTCAAGTTACTCAGTCGTAAAAGGGGCAGAGAGCTTTTTGTTATCATAACCACCCGTCCGTCTCACTTGGGGAAATTGGCAAGCAGATCACTCCTGCAAAAGCCTTTCACTCATGTGAGCGTTTTGGGGTTTGATGTGTCGGATATCAAAACCTACGTGGATAAATTTTTCAGCGAAGATGTCTGTAAGGCCCAAGGCCTTTTTGAGAGAATATCGTCCTCTGGCGTCCTATCTGATCTGGCTAAAAGTCCCATGTTGCTACTGTTGATGTGTTTGTTGTGGAGGGCGGATGCCTGCTTGCCAGAAACAACTTCGCGTTTGTACAGAGCGTCTCTGGCGTATATTTTCAATAGAAAGTCGGATGTGTCAGAAGAAGACATGCAACAAGTTCTGATTCCTCTTGGAGAGATTGCCCTGGGTGGTTTGGTCTCGCCAACGCAAAGACTAGCATTTCAGGAAAGAGAGTTTGAGAAAAGCGTACTTGACAAGGCCTTCAAAGCTGGAATACTTACCAGTCAACGAGTCCTGAGGGGGCTTCATTGTCATAATAGCGTACAGTTTATCCACAAGACATTCCAAGAATTCACTGCTGCCACATACTTCCAAAGCCTGTCAGAGGACGAGGCCGGGAAATTGCAGCGTGTGCTTGATCAGATTGAAGCTCCTCATGAACTGGAGTATCTGTTACGGTTTTCCTGCGGTGACGACAAGACTTGCACCCACGCTGTTTTGCAGATGCTGCGTGACAGAATAGACGCGTTGAAAGAAAGAAATGAGCAGTCGAGCGGGTTACAAACACTTGGCTTTGCCTGTTACTTTGAGAGCCAATCCAACATGCCTCCACCAGAGGACTTCGTTGGTTCGATTCTACAGGGTAGAGTTTGCGTGGAGAATTACAACATCGAACAACTGAATTGGTTCGTTTACTTTCTGGGTCATGTTATGGATGAAAGAAAGATCCATTTTACCAACATACGAGAACTGTCGATCTCATCGTCACAACTCTGTCAGTTCAGTGAGGACTTAGCATCTCAGTTATGCAAAATGGCGAGTCTGTCTGTTCTGGAGTTGCCAAATTGCTCTTTAACCTGCAGAGATATGATCCATATCGCGCCATCATTCCGGCAAACAGTCCACTTAACCAAGCTAGATCTTTCCTCAAACAGCTTGAGCTGCTTTGACGAAGAGGGGAATGTTTCAGGGGCGCTGTGGTTTCCTGAATTACAATATCTTACGGTTCTTCAAAGTCTCTCGTTGGATGAATGCCTGTTGAAAATCCAAGATGTCAAATGCCTGGCCGACTCAATTGGTAGCATGGAGAGTCTGGTGCACTGCTCAGTTCGGTCATCACTGTGGCCAGATGTTGGGCATCGAAGTGAGGTTTTCCTAGTTGAGCCACACAAAGCTGGTATAGCCATGTCGCTATGTGATTTCTCATTAAGCGGCTTGGATCTGGCAGAAGTACTGAGGCCACTGATTAAAAGAAGCGATTTGGCCGAGTTGCACATCCGAGACAACACAGGACTCGGCGGCTCTGGTGCGACGTGGTGCCAGGAACTGGCACATCTTAGATATCTTCACAGAATGACTGTGTATGACAATGACCTGAACATGCAGGATGTCAGGTGTCTGGCTGGCTCAGTTGGCTGCATGAAGAATCTGGTTGCATTCTCGGTTGACTTAGATGAGGGAGAAATTCGTGTGGAGGGTGCCAGCAGCGGCATAGAACTGGTGTTTAGACGTTGTTCTGTGGCCGGCAGTGATGTCGCAGATATCCTGCAGTCAATGGCTAACAGGACAGACTTTGTTTCGCTACTTCTCTGTGAAATTGACGGACTGAGTGGTTCCGTGGATACCTGGTCACCTCAGTTAAAGCGACAGACGCAACTAAAGCAGCTGGCATTTTTTCAATGCGCACTGCGTAGCACAGATGTGGAACGCCTTGGTGCATCACTAGCTGAAATGGATGCCCTTGAGCATCTGGAGGTGCAGCAATTTGAGCCATTCCTCAGCGGTACTGCACCGTCTTGGGCTCATCACATCAGGTCCATGAAACACCTTCAGAAGTTGAGTTTGGATTGCTTGCTGCTTAGCGATGACGTGCCACCCATTGTGACGTCAGTGGGTCGTGTGGCAAGTCTCGGTGAACTAGACCTGTCCGGGAACAAAGCGTTGGGTTGCGGCCGTGGCGCATCGTGGGCGAAGTCCTTAAGGGGAATGCATCTGGTCCACACGCTGCGCCTCTGTCAGTGCTCGCTGCAGGCTGACGATGCGCAACACATCGCCTCGGCGCTGAGCGGAATGTCGAATCTCGCCGAATTGGATCTGTCTCGAAATTGCGCACTGGGTTGTGGTTGTGGTGCATCGTGGGCTCCGTTTCTGAGCAAGATGAGCCACCTCAAGGCCCTACGCTTAAGCGATTGCTCGCTGCAAGCGGAAGATGTGAAGCAGGTCGTTGTGGCTTTGACCGAGATGCACAACCTCGTCGAGTTGGATATTTCATTCAACAGTGGCTTGGGGAATGGAAGGAGTTCTTTGTGGGCCCCTAATATGTCCGAAATGAAATACATTCACAAACTGGTATTGAAGGGATGCAGTTTAACTACTGAAGACAGAAAGCAAATTTCTGAGTCACGCAATAACATGCCTGCCTTAGTGGAATTGAATGTGGAGGTATGCTAAATGACAAAAGGAGATCAATAGTTAATGCAGTTGTGGTAGCAAGATGCACTTGAACCTAAAGTAATTAATTACAATGAGCCGGTTCGATATTCCAACAGCGCACGCCCAAACTGAAGTGCGTTCGACGCTATCGGTTTGTGAGTGTGACGTCACTTCAGTTAAAACCACGCCCACTGCACACGGAGAACTGATGGCTGTTTTTCAATCCTTGACTTCGTCTCCGCCTTAGGCTTCATATGTTCTTTTACTGCCTGCTGTTTGCTTAGTAGCAAGTCCGATAGTGCCACAGGAACAGCAAATAACATGCAACAGAGCAAAATGTAACTGTACTTCAGTTTACTCCGAACGCTTTAGGCCTGTAATAGGGGGTTAATTAAGTAAACGAAGCTTGAGACTGAAACAAAACCGAGTATTGAAAAACGGCCATGGATGGAACTGGAAGTTTATGCGCAACTTTGTTCATCCAATGAGAGCTTGTAATGGGTTGTGCTTGCGCGTCTGTGACGACGTGTCTTACGAACCAGATTCTGGTACATCAGCACGCGCGCGCGATAGTTTGGTCTATCAGCGGACCTATACATTAACACGAACGTATGTTTTGCTTCCGAAAGACCTTGTTATGAAATACCGAACTGGCTCACTGTCAATACCCTACCCATGCCACCATTTCCTTTCTGTAGCTAATCTATCATATAGCACTTATACTGTACCTACTGTATTCACAGCGGAACGTGAAATGAAGTACATGCACGTGTACTGATTCATCAGAAAAAGAATGGTACTGAAAGAATAGCACAGGTTGTCTGAACAATTGTAATTAAATACAAGTGAAACTTCTGACCGCAACAGTACTGGATCGATGACACATTGTTTCCGTCGTTTCTTCTTATAGCAGCTCAGTCAGCTGGGAACGTATTGAGACCAAAGAAATATGGCATAAGGAACATGGTGTTAAATGACTGGGGGTGTTTGAAACAAAATGAAGTAAAAGTGACTTGGTCTTAAACTGACATTCTTACGTTGAAGACCTGCTCGGAAGATGAACGCTGTTTTGCCCGTTCTCCTCAGCCGGTCCCAAGGGAATGTTTACGACCGGCCAAGCACATTCTTTTAAGAAAATGACACACACACAAATAGGCCTCTACATTTAATCGCCTGATCAGCTACTTCAACCATTGTATGAAACTTCTACGCTAACTTGCTCACTAAAGGCCGGCTTTTAATTGGCGCAGCGCAAAGGCTAGCATGAACGTGAATTAGTGACGGCTGATAAAATATTGACCCCGCCTCAGCATTCGCTTAAAGCGTGAGCCGACCCTTATAGTTATCGTTTTTCTTCCTCGTGAAGCAGGGTACTAAAAGTAAGATGTTCCTTCGTATTAATTTCAACGACTTTTTGCAAAATGGTTGGCTTGTTTTGTGTATTGTAGTTTTAAGTAACTTTTTTCTAAAGACACAATGCTATCTTGTGTTGAAGTTTGCAAATAAGTTATTTTCGAATATTTCTGCGTGCATGACGCATTTGCATTGAAATGGTTCCTGATTTATTCACGTTTTTAACACAATACGGGCGATTCACAATAGTGTCACCAAGAGTTTGCAACACGCTGGCCAATCATAACGCGCGAAATTTGTCGACCATTTCCAAACACGCATTGGGTCGACAAATTTCGTCCATTGTGATTGGCCAACGCGTTGCAAACGTGGAGGCGCACTATTGTGAAACGGCCGTAATGAATATGTTAATCTGTTTAGGCCTGTTATCAAATGCTTTTTCTCAGTTTACATAGACTGCCACCAGGTAACTCATTTATTTTCAGTTGTACATGCTTTGTTCAAAAGAAGAGATTTCAGACAAGTTTTTTGGTGATGTGCGAAGAATTTCCTTTTGATTAAATAAAAATCAATGATTGTTTGATAAAGAGCTCTATATTCAAACATGCACGATCAATTTATGCTTTAAGTGAGACAAAACAGCAGGTTCTGTTCTTCCTTTGATACATACAAACATAAAAGAGATAATTGTGAATTCTTTTAAAGTATTTCTCCCCAGAAGATAATAGTAAATACAAATTTCACAATTGCAAAAGATTGTTGTGCTTAGTTCCCAATACAGCTTTTATAATTAATGCAAACTATGATCTTTGTCACTGAAATTGTAACTATTACAGCAGTGCGCCTCCAAGAGTTTGCAACGCACTGGCTAATCATAATGCGTTAAATCTGTCGACCCAATGCGCGTTTGGAAAGGGTCGACAGATTTCGCGCATTGTGATTGGCCAACACGTTGTTAACTCTTGGAGGCGCACTGTTGTAAATCACCCGTATTCGATACCTTTTGGCATTATTCGCCGTTTAGTCAGGTACTTCTGTGAAACTAAGCATGCCAATATTGTAAATCTGATGCGAATGCTGGGTGAGTTTTATATGATAAATGGGAAATTCATGGCATTCTTACGTTGAAACAATGTGAGTTGCAGATCTGAAGGCTGTGTTTGAGAACCAACGTTACAAAGCTGGAGATCAGAAAAGTTGATGAACTGTTATGGAAACAAATTATATCAGCTCATCAAGCAATACCCTGGTCTATTCCGGTAGATTGAAGGCAATGTGGCTTCTCTTACTGTAACTCTTAACTTGATGCCTCTTTTCCTACCTCCATGGTAATTCCAATGGACTTGAACCGATTCGACCGTATCCAATGATGCCATTCAAGCTTGATATGTATTACCCGATGCGGTATCGCAGATTTCACGACTGATACGTTCCATCAAGGCCACCGTACAGGTTCTCTGGAGCGTTTTTTTATGTCTGCTGGCGAGAGTAATTTGCGCATGTTCAGGCGAATGTTTCGCTGTAAACAGCATGCTGACAGTATAAAGGCAAAATACAAATAGATCAAATGGGTCATGGTTTACTGAGATTTTGTTCAGCGTGTATGCAGTAATGGGAACGACCTGTGACCGACGACCTATTCATTGAACAAAATGTACACTCAGTAATTGTGCAGAGTAAGTGGGCACTTGCCTGATTAAACGCAGTGCCCGCCGAGAATAAAATTGCGGGCACAGAATCGAGAGTGATATCCGGTCTCCTGTAAACCAAATACAGATACATGTGTCGTATGAAGTTCGAATAGTCTGTGCCTCACTGTGAATGTATGACCCTGACGTATGACTTTGTGCAGTAAGCAATGGAACAGGAGGCGGGTACTCCATTCACTTTGTGGCGTAAGGGAAAAGAGACAAGTTTTCACGGCAGTCCAATTTTCGACACGATAGCAGCATTCGTCTCCACGGTCTCAACGCACAATCCAAGACTGGCACAAACGGCCAGGAACCTTGCCGGGAGCTGACCCCGTGATTGACGGACTAGAGCCCCATTGTAAACTTGTCCGCGGCTTAACAACTGCCAGCAACTCTCTTGTTCGACTCTACCGGCTTAAAAACCCTTGCCATTGTCCCAGCCAAGGAGGTCTGCCCTGGCCCTGATAAGCAAGCGATTAGTTCGCCCTGAGTAAACAACGAACAATTATAGGACGTGCAGAAGCTGTCACATCACACAGGGGCGCCACATGCCAGCCCCTTGATTGGCAGGTGTCAAACTGCCCTTCTTATTCATGGTGACGGGTATGTCCTACTTCACCACCGTCTGGCTTGCACTGAAGACGGTGGCCACTCAGTCAGGATAACCTAATCACTGCGTTCGTCGTGCGCAATGACACGTTGAAAAAGTGTCTTGCCTTGTCACGTGGTCCGTGTCTCTCTCGGATCTTGTTGCTGCTTGAGAGAAACATCCCGATGGGATTGTTCGTCTTGTATGAGACTGCCGACGTTCAATGAGAACAGACGTCTCCAAGTGCGGCTTCCGATAAGTCAAGCTGTGATTGGAATGGGGCTAAACTAGCGCCCAGCCACAGCCTGTCTAGCTCGAGAAGTTGAACAAGCAAGGAGGCGATAGTCGCGGTAGTCCTGAGCATCCACGAGAGCACGGGGGAAAATTGAGTTGCAACATCCTCCTATTAATATGCTGGAATGCCTTTTGATGAGAATTGTCTCTGTCTCGTGTCTCCTTATTTGCTGAAGGCAGGCTTGCATTTTTTTTAGGGCGAGCCCGGACTACGAACACGAACAAAACATCTGATTCCAGTCATTGAAACTTCGCAAATTCATCGAATGATCGTGGACAGGCTGAGTGAAATTGCACTGCAGAAACCAACTTGTGATTTTGAGCAAAGCGCCTTGGTGAAATCGCTCTTTCCGCCGCAGATACACGGGCTTGGCTCCGTTCTCTCCCCCATCCGACCATGGCAAGATTCGGCCTTTCCGTGGCGGTCCCTTTACTCGTGCTCCTCGGTCACTGCTGTGTCCGGCTGGTGGACGCCGCGGGTTGTGAGGCCATCCAACTGCCTATGTGTTCGGGCATGAAGTACAACATGACCCAGATGCCTAACCTGCTGCACCACAGCGCGCAGGAGAACGCCCGCCTCTCCATCGAGCAGTTCCAGGACCTGGTGGACACCAACTGCAGCAACCTCCTCCTCTTCTTCCTTTGCACCATGTACGCGCCCATCTGCACCAAGAGCCTGGAGTTCGAGGTGGAGTCGATCCCGCCTTGCAAGGGGGTGTGCGTGGAGGCCCGGTCGAAGTGCGAGCCAACCATGCTGAAGTACAACGTGACATGGCCCGAGTATCTGTCATGTCAGCACCTTCCTGAGTACACGAGGGGCGTGTGTCTCACTCCAGAGGCCATCGTCGATACTATGCCAGGTAAAGTGTCTTTCTTTTACGACTATAATTTACCATGTGGGGCATTAAACTTGGAAGGTATTATTATGTTCGTCATTCAATGGGCCCATATGCGATTTAACTTTAATGCAGTCCACATAATGCACCCTCGTGTCCCATTCGACCTTATTTTAATTTATCGTTTTACCATTTTCAGGGCATTTTGGCGTCTTTTTAGATGTTTTTCTGCCAGCTTGGCGAATTTATGTGCTCACCTTTGATGCCATTAATTTCAGAGAGAAACTTGCATATCATATTGTAATTTCATCACCTAGATTTGCCACATGTTGGATGTTTTGGTGTCTTGAATTTTCAGCTAGTTACCGGCAACTAAATTGTACAGTATCGATGATGCAAGGTCATGAAGGTATTATATTTTGGCCGAGGGACTTGTGTCAAAACTTTCAATGGCACTTTGTAAAATTTGCCACAATCTCGGCTATCTGGGCATGGATGTACCCTGTAGTAATCGTGATTAACGAAACGAGCAATGGCGGCTTTAAGTTGGAACCAGTCAGATGGCTGAGGTCGGGATGTCGACGTGTGGTAAATTAGATTAAACGGGGTGGCCGTAATACTAATAGGACCACTGAGGACGTCAGTCGCTCACTAGGAGTGAGCACCTTGGCTTTTAAACCATACCACTACTTGACTGTATGATTGGTTTATACATTCCCCCATGGCTTATACTACAAGTGGAAAGATTCCTCACTGTCGTTACTATTTCAACAGCGATGGGGGGGGGGGTAAAGTAAAGGCTTACCGTAAATCTCCTGACTTAAATTCCACAGTACACGGTATCTGTTTCTTGATTGCAACAACATTTGTTGTTTTTTTGGTCGAAATGCAACATCTATTTCTGAAAATGAGCCCACTGCATTCTTTGTCTTCCTTAAGAAGTAGGGTTTGCCGAGAATTATACACATTAGAAGCTTCCAAGGCCTCGGTACTTCAAATATCTACAGAACCCAAGGGGCAACTTCCTTCGTTGCCCCCCCCCCGAAGTGTAGATCCCTGCCAGTCCAAGCATAGCAAAAACTGATTGGACAGTTTGGCCTTGCCAGGTGGGTAATGAGCCACCAAATCAGCGTTGCCTTCTCTTACAGAGTTTTAACCCGTCACCTTTTTTTTTACTGTCCCGAGATGATAATCCGGGAGGGATTGGGCCGTCTGGCGCGGCTCGCATTGTCAGGGTTTTGACGCAAAGACCTCCGTGCGTGGATCCTTCACGCACGAGCCAAACAAAAGGCGTTGTGGGGGAAAACACCTCTCGCTAGAGATGGACTTTTCCCCCTGTGATTGAATCTTGCTCTTGCAAGTTCCATTTTCTTTTTTTTTTCTGACAGTCGATGACGCTGTATCTTAGTGAGTATTTTGCATCGAGAGCTGCTTAATTATTAAAAGTCTACAAAGAAAGGAGTTTAGATTCCTGCGTTTTCTGTTCTTTTGCAAATTATCATTATTATACATCTCACAGTTATAAAATGACAACTACCGACTTTGTCCCAATTACGAAAGCTTCGCGTGAGGGGATACAATTTTGATGGCCATTGTTGGGACCGGACCATATTGAGGCAGCGGAAGTGATGGAATTGGAAATTGAATGTAATAAGAAAGCATATATACATGTACTAACTATATAATGATTCACAAATCGCAATTGGTGGTTAACATGTTTAACTTTCATTTTCTTGACTAGACTTCGAGTCTGTGGTTGGATAGTCAACCCTGTGTCTCAATTAGGCATTGGTATTTCACATCCACCCTGTTTTTTGTTTGTTTGTTTTTGCTTTTTTGTTTTGTTTTGTTTTTTGTGCAGCTTAGTGAATGTTGTTCCGCAATAGCTCTATACACGTACCGGGGATCTTGACTGCCTGATCTAGGTTTGGATCCCGTGCAAGTAGGAGCACAGTGGTAATTTTTTTAATCATCGCCTGCACCTGCTCCTTCGCGGGCCTGATGGAGTCAGTAGGATACATGGTGAAGATTTTTTTTAATATCTTTGAGTAATATGTGAACTTCCTGGGCCACGTGACGGTGCTGCTCCGGTGCAGATGCCAAGCACGTTGTCATGGCGGTTTCCTTGCTTTGACCCGGGTTAGAATCCCACTCAGTCCGATGTGCGTTGGTGTCATGTTCGTGGAGAAGTTCAGTCCTAGTATGAAGGTTTCAAAGGACCATGCAAACTCTTCCGCATGTCTACTACCTAGGCATTAGTCTTGTGGGTCCAAATCGCCTTTCGCAGTGTTGCGGTCCGATATGCGTGCAGTGTGTAGTGTGCATTGTATAAATACGATTCACTGTGAGTGTGACAGCGCCCTTTTTTGGAGGCGTACCAGCCACTAATTATTGTCTGGTGATGGTTCATGTGGCGCAATAAACAGGAAGGTCTTGAAAAGAAGACTACTACCCAGGCATGAAAACATTGGTTTGCGAGTCTTTTTGGTATGCTGTTGCTGACATTAAGGTTGAACATAATCGTGTTGTTGTGGCTGTAGTTGTCTTAAGACGCGATACGAGTCGCTGAGTTCTAAAATCTTCGCAATGTAGATTTTACTCTTTCCTTTCTTTGCAGTTTTTGTTTAGTAAAGAAAGCATCAGTTTGTTCATTTCAACAAAGATACGTCTTCTCTTGTAATGAAAACGTACACAGATTCTTTTTCACAGCATTTCTCCATGAGCCATTCCGCCCGCGAGCACTGATGTTAGTCAGGACAACAGCGAAAATGACAACTTTTACTGGATTATTACACTTGCTGAAAGGCCCTGGAAAAATTGAAGACACGTAGGCGGTTCTGTACCAGTCGGGTTTTTTTTTACGTCCGTGGTTGTGAGCGGTCGTTTCCATTTGCGAGGGGTGGGTTGATGACGCGTATCATTGACGGTGTATAAACGTTCTCATCATCTCACCTGCTGCCGGAACCCTGCGGGGTGCGCTTCCTCATTGTTATCACGCAAGTCGCATACCTCGACAGTTGCACCTGTGCTGCGGTAATAATTCAATAATTCTAAAAAAGACAAACAGAATAATTGAAATAAACAAAGGCGACGTTATGTCGAAACGCAGATGCATACCTTTGCATAGAAGGCGAAAATCGTGTGCGTGCAAACAACCACTAAACACAGACCGTGGGACGGGAAAAATTATTGACCTACATTGGGAAAATCGAAGACAAATATTTGTGTTCTTAAATGGGTTATAAACAGAAATGTGATGAATTTCAAAACTGGAGTGGGGGTTGGTCTAGTATCCTGTGGTAAACCTTCTTGCAAATGACTTGATATTGGTGATTTCTGCCAGCTCTTTGGACCCACTGTATTGACGTTGTTATTTAGGTCACAGTAGTCTGAAGGTAATCCGATTGGCCCACGTAATGAGGCCAGTCGTCGGAAATGTTGGAAACGAGGTTTGGACGTTGGTTTGTTCATCAGTTGTAATGATTGCAGACAGAGATACCAGTATACATTCAAGGTGACAAATCGACTAATAACCCCACTCCAGATACCGCAAAATCGAAATCTCATGTTTCTCGAGAAACTAAACCAACTCGCTTAATTTGCTTGATTACTTCAAAACAATTTCTGTATCCGTTCTCATTTGGGGACATTCTGTCCCAAGAGACGATATGAAGGGTGTTCTTCTGGGGTAACTCGGCGCACAACAAGCAGCGAAGTCAATTGCCCATCATTTGTCACCCGACGGTGGGTAATTATCCAATCGAAACGAAGATAAATGAGAAGACGGCTGAGAAAGGCTGAACCTGTTGGTACCATTCCAATAAACAAATTGGGTTCCTCACTGCACATGCGTGATAAATGTCAGAGTTGATGGCATCTTAAGCCACATAAAGCATGTGTAGCCCTCTTTATATCCACCCTGCACCCCCCCCCCCCCAGTTTAGTCATACATGCCGACTCTAATCAGGCTTCGGCCCAATTTTTGTGCGTGTGACAAATGGTCTCTCACCCCCCCCCCCGAACACGGGTCTACTGATGAGCCGGTCCGTTTGTGGGTCCATCAGTCACCCTGAGCAGATCCCGCTAAACCCCCGCCCCGGTGGCTCGGTAAACACTGCAGCAGCCAAAATATACGCGCCGGTATGTTTTTAGCGCCTCAAGAACTGGGGCACTGTAATTGCAGGGTTGGGGTGGGCTAACGGTTGGGTCACGTGGTACAGGCTTTGTGGCGATGGTAAAGTATGATCTCGCGCTAGACTGGGCGTCTTCCCCTCATCCTGTGTACCTGTTACAACCATTAAAATCATTCATAGCAAGTACACACAGGCCTATATATATAATGAACCTTTTCAGCCGTTGGTTACAGTAACTGCATCAGTCAGTCAATATGCCTTAAACTACAGAGAAAAAAAACACAAGTTGTTTTGTACGAGCGTCTGTGACTACATGTATTCACTTGTCAAACTGAGAAGTCAAACTGAGTATTATGCTTTCAAAATCTTGGTCGTGCTGGTCGACATCTTGACATCTGTTTTCTGTTGCTTGGTTAAGGGCCAATTACGTCACCAGTGACGTCACAGTGTAATTCAAGTTAAGAGTTAGATGAATAATCCATCTTGCAGTCTGTCATATTCCCGACGAAAGTCAGTTGCCAATAACCTCGCCAGACTAATTCATTACTGACATTCTGCCATCTAACTTACTGGAAGGAAATGAGGAACAGACATGGATTTTTCGAAGAAACATCTGTTTCTAGGTTACGAGGTTACTGGGGTTTTTTTGAAAAGCTTTCGGGCAACAGTCCCAACGAAGTTGGGCTTTTGGGCCTTTTGAAGATCGGTAGGCGCGCAGTCGACCCCCCTCATACCCCCCCTTGTAACCACTTCGCTAGAATGGCCCATTTCTACGGCGTCTCTGGTCCAAACAAGTGTTTGCGATGAAAATGTATTCACTTTTGACCTACATGAACACTCGTTCGCAGATACTGAAGATAACCTTAAGTGTTATTCTTCATTGTGTAGGCATATAACTGAATTTAACATGGAAGATAATCGGTTGTAATTTTTCTCTAAATTATGTTTCACTGGATACCAGTTTAAATTATAGATTTGATGAGTATACCGTTACCTCTTTTCCCCCAGTATCAAATAAGGCCACAAGTTCTACTAAATAAAAAAAATTCATACGGAAATGCCCAAACGTTTTAAATTGTTTTGGTGTCGACGGCCACCACTTCGGATTCCCCGAATTCATCGCAGTTGTGACATGGGCTTTTTGTCTGATCTAAACATTTCCCTTTGAAGCTAGAAAATTTGTTTTACATGACAAAATGTAAACTCCTTTATGCACGCCAACTTGATACATTAACCAGACAGTTCCTGAGGTTATTTGATCGGTTGCTAGTCAAATACATGAAATCAAGAAGGGTATCTGACTGATAAAACGGGAAAAGTCACCAGATTTCACAGTGATGGGCTGGAGCGCTCCTACGCCCCTGGTCCTAGTAGGGCTTAGAGTTTCGGAGATAAGTGTAGTGGACATCATTTGCGAGACTTTTGAGAACAATACGAGGGTTATTGGTTGCTTGGGTCTTCAAATACATCAAAACATGTTCCAGTAGCCCGGACGTCTGTCAGCGTCGGCGCGCCTTCACGTAGTTACTGTGAAAAATATGTGCACGCTGTGGTCCGCAGAGACTGAAGCCGAGCCGCAAATCGAGCACTCATTAGTTAAACTGTGGCGAAGGTAAATAATATAAAAGTGTGTTGAAATGGTCCGTCTGTTTCCAAGACGATGCGCGAACAGAAGGTTCGCATATCTGCCATCACAGTCCCGTTAGCCCGACGAGTCGCATTGGGTCAGCCCCTTGCGACGCTTAGAGGTTAATAAATCAGACAGTCTGACGCGCCGACATGCCCTCCTGGTCCACGGCGGTTGGGAAAGGGAAGCAAGGAAAAGTGGCTGCACATTCCCAGAAACCGCCAATTAATCCCACAAGTGCCTTGTGCGGTCCGACTGGAATTGAAGTCACATCCTGCCAAGTGACATTTAAAGGGAACACTTTTCTGGAGTAGGTCAAATGGTTAGATCTCATGGATTTTTGTGCGCATCTGTGATTTGAAGTCCTCATCAGTGTGGCTTTGATCGATCGATCCATCAAGGGATACCAACCGACAGAGGACCCACCACCGAGACTGCGACTGCACCAGAACCGGGGCATTGGTTGAGAGGGGAAAAAAATAGAATTCAGAAAAGAGCAGGAGTGCATGGAACCCAAACTTGCCTCTACGAGCTAAAGTGTAAGCCCCATAAAATTGACCCCCCCCAAAAAAAAGTAATGATGATCACCAGTTCTGGAGACTCGACAATATTTTTCCCTTTTTGAGTCATTTTGACTTTTAGGCCACCTGAAGGAATAGCAACTAAAAGTTCAGGTTCTGAAAACGATGGAGGCCTGTCTGTTCAGACAGAAGGGCCTTCCATGCGTGCTGTCTGTTTCTACATTTGTGCGAATGGAACCTACCTGGTTCGTTTTGCTTGGACGGTAAGTTGCAGTAATGTGCAACTGCTACAATCCCCACGTTCTCTTTACGCCACGCCGACCCAATGGTTAAATCACGTGGTGTGCAATGCACCAGTTGAAAACCAGTGATTTTGTCGAACACAGGCAGCTTCACGGTTATAGCAAGATAACATTTAGGTCCAAATTCTTCGTAATCTTCGTCTTGCAATACGGATAATACGGGCGTTTCATCATAGTGCGCCTCCAAGAGTTTGCAACGAGTTGGCCAATCACAATTAACGCGCGAAATCTGTCGACCCTTTTCAAAGGCGCATTGGGTCGATAGATTTTGCGCGTTGGTGTTGGCCGACGCGTTGCAAAATCTTGGAGGCGCACTATTGTGAAAAGCCCGTATTGGAAGATCCTTGTAACAACAAGGTACATTTAATTTGTAAAGTCCCAACGATTTGTTATAAAAGGGGTTCAACCGCATGGGCCCTGAGCAGGACCAAGAGAGGGCGCAATTTTCCTAGCAACGGAGTCTCCTTTGGTGGGAACGAAGGACTGTAAAACCCAAGCGTTGCAGTCACATCGCGCTACCAACAAAATGAACACTCCCCACCAACATTGGCTCTTTTCAACCTATGAGGGGCCCGGGGTGCTTCTGCTCAAGGCGGAAGATGCTGGCCCGGTTGTTGTTTTTGAGCTGTTAATCGTTTATAGATGGCATTTACTTGTATTTAAAGTTATAGGCCGATCTAAAAATCATCTTTTCTCTTCCAGACGAAGACGACAACAACAACGAGAGCGGCGTCGTCACCGAGCCTGTCGTACCTGGCAGCATCCTACCACCGAAGCCAAAGAGGAAGGGTGCGTTTTGACAAAAAATGGTGTCTGTAGAAAGCGCTTTTTCTACTGAGAGCGCTTTATATTTAGAGGTCATTCCCCTGTAACCACGGCCCTAACTATTGAGGCCGGTGACCGCAAATCTCAAAATTAAGTGTACACACTTTATAATGGAAAATTTATTGTTAAAATCGCACGTTCTGTTTGTGTAAGGCGTAAGCGGAAGTGAAGACCCTTGGTCAATTTCCATTCTAATTAACCCTCAGGCTGTTATTCATTCTGTTTCGATTAGTTTGTGTTTGAAAGAGATGCGTTCGGTATCCAGATTAGTTGGCAATATGTGGGTGAAGAAACGCTTGAGGTTACCAATGATTTATAGTTTTGGTCAAGACTTTTTGCATTGAAACTTTCCCCAATTTGCGAAGCCTAGTCACGCCCCTAAATAACAAACAGCCAGACGTTGTTTGTGTGCACACCAGCTTTGTGACGTCATCAAGCGGCATTCATCATGAAGTGCGCCCTCATCGTCTTGACCAAGACTAGATAATTTGCAGTTTGCACGGTTTTTTCACTGCTGACTCGTGTCGTATTTCGAGAGGTTGGGACACGAGTAATTATGTCAAAAAAAGTACACATAAGGGAAACCAGACTTCTGAAAATGGGTATGACGTTTGGTAGGAGCAAGTTCGTATATGTACATGTATATCACAGCCACTTTATACTAGAATTTTGTTTATTGAATTGATAGAGTTAAAAATCACCTGATTTGAGAATTTACGAAATTTCCTGAAGCTATGTTCATTGTAAATTAAGATGGTTCCGTCTTTTGTCGGACATTTCCGTCGTTTGTCGGATACCTGTGGGTGTAAAATTGTTGCACGTGCATTCAAGCTTTAAATTTCACTTATCAAATAACCTGAACATGTTTGTTTTTTTCTGTAAGATGCATGCTTGTAACAGTACATGCCTAGACTGAGATGTTCAACCTCACTGACAATCGGTGGCTCACATCGATCACTTCAAAAGTCATTCACAGGCACTTTACCCGGGCAAAATGGAGTCTTCACTCAAACGATGGTTGGGCTTTTTGCGCGTGCGTCGTGGGAAAGTTTTTTTTTAATGCTGCTACCTGACCAACGATCTTGCTTAAGATTGAGACCTCATCAGTCAAACGGCATGCATGGGACATCGAGTTTTTTTGTTTATGTGGTAATTTAATTTTAGTGAAGTTGTAAGTGAAGCTTTAAATTTCACTTATCAAATAACCTGAACATGTTTGCTTTTTTTCTGTGTAGGAAGCTGCAAGCGTTGTGAGAATACGAGGATAAACCAAGGTGTCTTCCTCGAGAAAGCCTACGAATATGGTATGTCGGACAACGCGATCTTGAACGAAATGCGCGGCCAACTTTGAAAAACCTTGAAATTATGCTAAGATGCTTCAATTTGGGTAGATAATAGATTGCATTCTTTGCGCTCCGATGGTCAGTGCACAAATCAATAAAGTGGATTCGGAGAGCATTGTCCGAAATGGCCAGGTCGTGAATAGAACCCGTGCATGTATACAACTTCCCACACCGCCTTCAAGACGGCAAGCGAGACAGTGGGCCGAAAATAGCCAGAGCGACAACACCACATTCAGTTCCGTGCAAATTCCGATGAAAATTCAAAATGGACTCGCGCGTACCAGGCGCCATACACCACGAACCTGCGCTTGCACGCGGTGTGTGCGTTGACTCTCTTGTAACCAAGGCCACTGGACACAGAACGCCGCCTACGTGCATACCTAACCGTATCCGTGCCGAGTCATAGTCCGTGTTCGAAATGGCCTTCCAGAGCTACGCTAGGTCTAGTGTCTAAGCGTCTCCATATATTTTCATTGAAGTGAAGACCTAGACCCAGCTCTAGACAACAGATTCCGATGCAGTCATAGCCTCTTTCTCGGATTCTCTCAAATCTCTCTGCTATGATTCTTTTACCGCAGTGGTTCGTGCCACAGTGACATCCTTTGTTACCGTGGGTGAGAACCTGATGTACACCGCCGTTATCGTAGAAGACGTGCTCAAGTTCACCGACATCAACATTCCTATTGGCGAGGTAAGTGTACTTTGTTGGTGACCATAGTCCCTGACCAATACTGTTCACTTAGTTTTACTTGTTTTTGAATTTCTTTAAGATCTCTTATGAACGCATAACGTAAATTTACTACCCGCACTTGATTGAGTTTGCTTGGACGCTTCGGCTTGCAAGTTCCGCACGTGATGAGAACATTGATTGAGAGCTATCAGGTACCCACAATACTTTGTGACGCCCGTGTTTCCTTTGCTGAGATTTTGGAAGACGTCATCCTTATCAACGCTCTCGGATAGGGCGTTTAGTTTACTGTCTTGAACACAATCCGGTTCGTAAGTGTGACGTCACTTCAGTTTAAACCACTCCCACCGGACTTGCACTGCACATAGAGTTACAGGCATTGATCGCCGTTTACATGGAACCATGGAACCGGAAGTTAACGCGCAACTTTAGCGATCGTCCAATGGGAGCCTGCGAATCGTGACACGTCCGCCTTTGTGACGAAGTCACCTACGAACCGGATAGCCAGGCAGCTTTGATTGGGCGATGGGGGTATTTTGGTCAGTATATCGCTAAGCGTCAAGATTTGCTAAGCAGTCGCTTCTCCCTATCTTGTTTTGTCTGTCTCTCTCTGTTCACAGGTTCACTTAGTAACGGAGGGCCCATGCGTTTGCCCCAGGGTTACGGTAGGAGTGGATTACGTCATCATGTGCTACCAAGACCTGGAGAACGGCCGCCTCAGGCTGACGGAGGAATGCATCGCGGAGGAGTGGGAGGAGGACAGCTGGCCCAGACTTGTCAAGGTGGGGCATTGTGGAACTTTTTACAAGACGGGATCTTGGAAGTCCTCTGGCGGAAAATATTATAAACGCCTTGGCCTCTGCCTCTCCGGGACCGAGAGGGAAAACAGTCCCCTGGCATTACGGGCGATTCACAGTAGTGCGCCTCCAAGAGTTTGCGACGCGTTGACCAATCACAGAGCACGAAATCTGTCAACCCTTTCCAAACGCGCGTTGGGTCGACAGATTTCGCGCATTGTGATTGGCCAATGCGTCGCAAAGTCTTGGGGGCGCACCATTGTGAATTGATGGGGACTACCTTGGCTGAAAGAGACGAAATAAATAAGAGAATAAATTAGTGTTAAAAGGACGCATTGGTTGTTATTTATGAATGAGGCACAGACTGGCACCAAGCTTCACTTTTTGCAGCAAACCTCAGCATCCTTAAAAATGTTATGCGGTAAAGTTAAAGCCCTTGTTTTTCCCCCCACTGGTTAGAAATGGGACAAGAAGCTCCGGAAAGCCAAGCGCAGGGAGGAGAAGCTGAGAGAGTCGCCCACGGTAGGTGGGAACAGCAGGCGCCGGCGACGGCAACGCCCGGAGCCTACCGAAGCGCCCTCTCGTGACAGGAGAAACAGAGGACGAAGTCGGTGAGTAGAAAGTCTTGTTGTCGACGGGTTTGACTGTGTGCTGCTGCCATTGGCGACGATCGCGAGCCAAGGCTCACTTGTTAAAAAAAGGAGGATTTTTCTGTCGATGGCAGCTCGTTATACCAGTGTTACAGCGCTTTAATCACTTTTGGGCAAGTTTGAATGAAGACTGTTAATGCCTACATCGTGATATTTGTTCCATTTAAATCCAACCTTTTCCTCAAAAAGTCATTATGTGCTTATCTGAAAGTCTTCCTTGTGCAGTCATTTTTACGAGGTGTTGCCACGGGCAGTCATAAAATGTACTTCGAACTTTTGCAAAAGACAACTAAAAACATTGTTGTTGACTCTATAGCCGTTGACCAGGATTTGAGTCAGACTCGAGTCGCTATTTGTTGACCGAGACTGGACTTGACTCAGAAAGAAAATGACTTGAGGCCTGACTTGAAAACTGATCAGAGACTTGACTTGTGGAAGTTTGACTTAGGACTTGACTTAAAAAAAATATAACTGACCAGAGACTTGACTTGTGGAAATTTGACTTGGGACTTGACTTGAAATAAAGAAAATTGACTTGAGACTAAAAGTTGAAAAATCTTGACTTGGGGCTCGACTTGACTTGAGAATCATGACTTGATTACAACACTGTTTAGATACCAAAACATAAACAACCAATGGTACATGCGTTTACATGTGCGTCTCACTGACCTTACAGGGCTGATCCAGCAGAGGATGTCGACTCCGAATCTGTCTCTGATTCCTTGTTGTGAAGAAGCGATGTTTGGTTGAGGGCTCTTCTGCCGGTTCTGTTTGCTGCGCCTTGACCTGGACGCCTGCGCAGTGACCCAACCATGCGTATTTCACAGACCGAACATGTAACGACAAGCATGCACATTTTGGTGAAAGCCGTACTGCCGTACTTGTGTGATTCATTTTTCCCTTCACTTTCTTTAAGCATTCAAATAGTTTCATTTGTATTTTCAACGCCGCACAAATTTCTAAGCCATTTCTTTTTCTTGTCAAAGCTGAACATAAGAAAAGCTGGCGTTGGTCACAGAATTTCAGGAATTGCTATTATGGCCAATTCCTGCATTAACTTTTGTTTCGTCATATCCTCGCTTAAGTCAATGTTTCAAGTAGTCTGGCTCCTTTTTATCGCAGCAGCGCTCGTAAGTATTTTCAAAGGCATGTGTAGGCCTACGTAATACTTTAGACAGTTTAATACCTTCGATTTGATTTTTGTCATTTGGTACCGTCCGTTTATTCCTTTTTTTTCGTTATTGTCCAAGCAGCTATATGTCCCCGCATATTACTGAACTCTTTAAGAAATAGTGCAATATATATCTTGCACAGATTGACCTTTCCTTTTGGGGGAAGACTTGATGGATAAAGTCGATGAAGAAACCCGTGAAAAATGTAGCGAATCCGATTGTTGAATCTCATTCTAATTCTCACGAAATCTGAGTTGTTGATTTGAAATAGATCGATACATTCAGTCTGTCATATCGAGATTTAAAACAGTTCCAGCAATGCCATGCATGTAATGGTGGCGTGCGGTGCGCCATCTTTGACCGTCTCTGCTAGTTTCATGCGAAAGTACCCTTATTAAGTTGGTGTTTCGCTGGTGCCCACCACCTCATACACAGGGTGCTAATAAAAAGGGCTAATTTCTGTTCAAAACAATGTGGTGGAAGCACAGCCTGCTTTTACGCTAGCTGTGCGTTCATTTTACATTCACGTGTCGTGAACACCCGGTGGTTCATGCAACGTGTATTCAATCACGTCATTTTGCTCGAAGAAGTTGGCCTTCAGTTCCAGCGGCCAGTATAGGAAGGGTGGGTATAATAAACTCGTCTAAACAATTTTTAAATCACCTCTGACATCATCTTTAAACCGCAGCACGCTGCCGGTCCCTATAAAATAGGGACGGGAACCAATCCTCCAGTATTCAGTTTTGAAAGACGAAATGTCGATGTGGTTCTTTGGGTTTATTATCACTGGAATCTGACTGCCAAGCAACCGGCCGGGTCGTGACCTCTGCAGAAGTGACGTATTACTACGGCGAACTGAAGTTGTCCACCATCTGTGAATGTTTAACAAGTTGAGGAAATGATTAACCCTAACACTCCTCAATCCTCCAACAGGTGAAGGATTGAGGAGGGTTAGGGTTAAGGGAAACTTATAGATACATTTTATAAGGCCCAACTCCCCACACAAAAATAGCATAACATTAGGAGCGATCAAAGGTGAAACCTATTACCCCACTTTTTTTTCTTTTCTGTTTTCTTGTACAGGTATAGTATATATATTTTTATTAACACTTTTCCGAAGTCAATCGGTATTATTCTTGTTTGTCGTATGTGTTTCTTTGAGGCATTGTTTTTGCTTTAAAAATTAAACTTATCAAACTAATTTCTTTTGATATGCAAGGTTTATTCAGACTTAAGCTCTTTGTTTTAAAGGCAAGTGGATTAATTGATGTAAATGAATGGCGATCAAATCGCAAGTTTGCATTCATGACGCGTGAATTCCGTTTGCATTGTATTAACGACTACGTGTTTATTCACAAGGTGCGGTATTAAATTTACATAATTGCTCCAGACTTCCTTTTTTCATATGCACTTTCAGCTGGAAAGCGTAACTTTTAAAAGTTTTATTTGCCGTGTGTTTTGCTTTGAGTGCTTAGTGTAAAATTGATCGAAGCCTGTAGCTAGCAGACTGAAAGTACCGTTCAACATCGATCAAATCTGCCGTGGCTGTTGCTCTTCGTGTCCAAATTACTTGGCTACGGCTTGAAATTTCGCACGATCCTAAGGGAAGTGGCTGCAGCCACGACCAGAAGTGGCTGCAGCCTGGACCATAGACTCACACGTGATTTTAAGCCGCAGCCAAGAAATTCAGACTCGGCCAGAGACAGAGGCTTGGCCGTTGGACATGTGGCCTCTGATGTCGTGAGTCTGCGCCTTCGTGCAGCGCAGTCGACGTGGTGCTCTGCACGTTAACGTTATGGTTTAACCTCTCAATCCTCCTGATTGAACTCTTAGACATCGCACTTCAGCTGTCAAACGTCGCACGCACTTCAACTTTCGAAACGCCGTACTTCAATATTTCAAACGTCATGGTTCAACTGAAAGTTTACGCGCAGAGCAACTGACCAGGATGCCGAAAATGGAAGTAGATGGTATAGGAGCGGGCCTGTGCTACTTTCACATTACCTCCACGGAAAGTTAATATACGACGTTTGAGAAGTTGAACCAGGACGTCTAAATATAATTATTGAACCACGAAGTTGAAAAGTTTAACTACTACCTTGGCCTGTCCGTTTTAGAACAATAAATTTACAGATTTGCTCACATTCACATGGGTTTAGGTGCTCCGCGTCCTCCGAGCGAATCTGACCTTGCGCACGTGGAGCGTGGGTTATATGTGTGGGGGCAGAAGGCAGTTGCTAGTAGGTAGTACAGCGCCCTCTGCCTTTCCTGGACGACGTCCATTAGTGTAATAACGGCTACGGGGGAATATACGGCAGCTGAGCTGGTGGTATTTTCAGCTATTTTGCTTCAGTGTGTCTTGGGAGAAAAAGGAATGCAGAAGTGATCTTCAGCAAAGAATCTTAGTGAACACGTTTGCATCCCTGCCTCTAGCTAATTTCTTTTAGAGATGTGGATTTGAACTATTCAGTTCTGGGGTCGGGGTGGCTAGTGTCGCTTTTAGGAGTCGAGTTATTTATTAAGACGGTTGTTACAATGGTAAACTGACCATTCTGGAGGCTTTGAGTGCATTATGTAAACGCTTTTTCTTTGAGATTTTTTGCTGTCGGAGAGATAAATTTTATAATGTATGTTTCCCTGTTCAAAGTGCCTTACAAATAAAGTGTGGATTTTGATGCGAAATATAACTTTGTAAATAAGCTCTAATAAACCCCTAATTGTGATGGGCATTCGTCAATTCTTCTGTGTCCAAGTGCTTGTTTCACGACTTTGCTTTTGCAGGAGAACAAAACCGTTAACTGAATGTCCCCTTATGTCTAATTTGCTTCGTGTTTAATCCCTGCATTGTAATTTTCACTATTTCAGATTTGAGTCCTCGAGATTCGTTTTGAAATCCAACGTAATTTTCATGAAAAAATTCCAGGATTCAGAAAGGCTACCTTCTTATATCCAGCACACTCAGTCTTTCAGCAAGTTTCTTTATCAGGAGTTCAGTGAGTTGTCAGGACTCGGAGCTCGTGTTCATTGTCTTCGGTCCCAGAGCAATTGTTATAGGCCTATGGGATGTGTTCTCGAACTTGCAGTGACATATTGGCATAAGACATTTCAACACAAGTCAAGCAAACGTGCCTCATTTTCAAATGGTTCAGAGTTGACATTTCAGAATTGACAGAGATTTTTAAAAAGTTCTGTCTTTGAGCCGTCAGACTTTCGGCAAGAGATCACTTGGTGTGTAATAAAGTACATTGCACTTTAGAGAGATGGGTCTATTCACAGTACAGTGCGCCACCAAGATGTTGCTACGGAGAGGCCATTGTTCTAGTTTTCAGACGACAAGACAGCTTGGTAAATTTTCGATGGATTGACTGAAGCACTATCTGCAGTAGAAAGAATAAAGGATTGATTGAAACTAGTACTAGAAATGAACTTAGGAATTTCCTTTCCTGACAAACATCGGGAATAATTTAAATATCCCGCACGCAGCCGAAGAGAATTTGCACCGACCATCTGTGACCATACCGATAAAATAGCGCCATCTACGTTTGAGTTCCACCATGCATTTACAAAATGTACAGCATGCATGTTGATGGCGTCTTGCGCCCCGTCCAATCATAGCCTGGGCTAGTCTGTTTCGATTTTCAGTGTATCACCTGACTCGGGAGCACGCGTAGTAAGACTGCATTACAAATATTAATACACTTATTTTGATCTTTAATTACAATTTGCGATCAATTAAAAGACTGACGATAACGGATTGAAAACAACACAACAAACTGACAGGACGCATCTCGTTGTTCATTACAGGAAGTATTATTAGATTCTGTCTAGACTAAGTTAGCACTATACAAGAGCACATAACGCGATTGGTGGTGTATATAATGTGGATATTTAAAACAAGGTACATGCAGTGTTAAGAGGTATGTTATAACTCATGTCACTCATATATTTTTAGCCATGTTATCATGGTGAGTTTTTAAATACCTTTTGAAAAATCCCCCCAGGCGTATCAGCTTGAAAACCCTAGCAGGCGAAACCCTGTCGTCTTCTGGCACTAACAGAAAAATAAGGTGAAAGTTACCATTTGCAGCCATCGAAAATATAGTAGACTAAGTAATTTGTTAAAATCGTACCTGATTAAATGGTGGCAATGGAACTTAACTTCTTGTGTTATTTAGTTTAGTTATTTAGTCTAGAAAGCCGACATTTGAGGAAAACAAAAGGTCCACTCCAAAGACTTCTCGACTCCTCGACTTTTTGAAATACAACGAGACTCGTGTTGCATAAGGCGCGCGGCTATTTTGGCTAGTCATGGACACCGTGTTCATCAAAAAGGCTTCAGCAGACGAGTGCATTACCTGCATTTCTGATTTGAAGTTGGCATGCTGTGAGCAATTCAAATCATGACCTGGCAACTTCCGAATCGAGTTACAAGAGAACCGGAACTATTGTGCTAGTTGTCACGACGTAAGTACATGTATTCCAGATAACTTTCACAGGCACCGGTCTTAAGATTATCAGCAATTTTGTCGCTTCAAATACAAAACATGCACAAACGACAAATGACCCATTCTACCTTAAAATGGTCTTTCACCATCTTATCAAATGACGGGAACGTAAGATGACTCATGAACCAGGTTACTGCTCACGTGACTGTTGTACGTTGATCTACAGGAAGACCAGGCATTGGTGGTAGACCATGAGTTTGAAGAACACGCATCTTACAGGCAAATTCCCTTTGATTCAGCATTCATAAGATTAATGTCTAGGACAGTTTGACAATTCCAAGTTGCCAAAAGCCTACATCACTTGGAGTTCAATCATCTTGATAATGCGCTACATCGAATGCACTTGAAAAACAACGCTTTGAACTTAGCGCGCCAGGCACATATTTACTGTGATCACCGCCATGAAGAGTGCTTCACAAAACATTAAGTAATACTGCATATTACAATTACTGTTGGAAGTCATCTTTTTGGACCTGCTTTGACATTTTGACCCAAAAAGATAACAGACAGGAAAGCGTTACGTATTATGTTTAAAACTGGCTAGGGGCGTGGTCGCTGATAATCACCTTGACTTCGGTTTGGGTCACTACCAGTGACCACATCCCAAAGCGATTTTAAAACAACACTCTCGAGTACACTGCTGTCTCTTCAATAATGAATACACAGACGGGCTACAAGACTGAAACATAAGGCTTTCCAAAAAAAAAGTTACGTGCGATGAAACGGCGCAATGAATCTTGCTCTATCCGAGCAGAAGTAGCTTGCAACTTCCTCTCAAGGCATACAGGGAAACCGCCGTTAGAAAGTAACCCTTTTTACATGTCCGCACCTTCTTCCCTTCAAGTGTAATACCATACCACAGCGGTGCTCAACGATTCGATTTATTCAACAAGGAAATTCCTCTCATACGTGTGCTCTCATACTAAAATACAAGCAATGGCTGTAAATGTCTTAACGTGAATAAACTGTACAAAGATAAAAAAACAGCGAAATTAAAATGCAGTGAATAAGTAAAACGTGTATGTGCAACATTAAGTAACTCTCGGTTTAATCATAATGAAGTTAAACGTACTGTTGTCCAAATGACTACAGAAAAACAATAATTGGATAGATATTTTGGTAGAAGGCCTTCAGCGTGCAGAATTCGTTAATTACGCCTAACTCAATTACTCAAGCAGTAAGAAATAAACGGTGGGCTGTTTCGACATAACATGAAGGCTGACACCATAAAGGCTGACTTTAGTCGACAGACGTTCTAACGTCTAACCGTTTGAAACAGATATATCTAAATGAATGCAACAAATCCTAATACGGGCATTTCACCCGAGTGCGCCACCAAGAGTCTCTAACGCGCTGGCCAATCACCATGCGTGAAATGTGTCTTCTCATTCCAAACCAACATTGGTGGTCGACACGTCCGGACGTGTCAACCATTGATCTCTTTTTATAACGGAGATCAATGGTGTCAAACCCATTCAAATGCGCATCGCGTACCGTGGCCACCGCATTGCGAACTCTTGGCGGCGCACTATTGGGAAAAGCTCGTATTAAGGCGATTGATAGTATTGATGTCCCTCAAACATCACTCACATACATGTACATGAAAGAAATCTTCCTGCTCTGCACTGGCAGCGCACTGCCCCACCTCAGACTATACTGAAGAAAAGCGCCCTCTTTCGAGTCACAGCATTGATTATTTACAATAATTACATCAAGCCATCTTAACGTCACAAAATTCACCATCAGTCAAATTATCTATGCGGACGTTCAGTAGAATATACACTGTTGTTGGCCACACATCTATCCCTGTGTTTTTCGATTTGTTGCACAACCAATCCCCGGAAATTCAACACTGATCACTACAATTGAATGGTCGGAGCATTCCCATGTCCCTGTGAACAAGTGAGGCCGCCCGAGGATCAATACGGGCGATTCTCAGTAGTGCGCCTCCGAGAGTTTGCGAGGCGTTGGCCAATCACAACGCACGAAATCTGTCAACCCTTTTCAAACGCGCAGTAGCTCGACAGATTTCGCGCACTTTCGCAGCATGTTTCCCAAGTTTTGGAGGAGTATTGCTGGGTACCGACAGAAATAATAGGGACGTTATGAGGGAAGTTTAATTTCATAAATACCCCTGGTGTAAATATCATAACTGTGTCCACACGAAACAGCCCGAAACAGTGGTGACATAAACAGCCCACTGGGGCTACAATTTGAGTTTCCCGGTGAAACATCCATAACTGGTGAGTCTAACCTGGGCCTCCAAAGATGGCGCCTCCTAACTTCCAGCCCTCGGTCTCGACACGCAATCCGGTGAGTAATATAGAGATCAGTGATGTTCATGAAAATTTCTTTAAATCCTGGGAACACTGGGGGAGAACAAAAGGGCTCTATTCAGAGAAAGAAAAAACCTTTTGTCTCCACAGGTCTAAAAAGATTTCAAAAGCATTCTATTATTTTTCTGTGGGAGTGTTTTCATTTGAGGACTAGTTCTGCGAGATTTGTTTACATGAGAACCAAGACAATCATTTCTGAACCTGTGTCAAGGTGTGGCGAGTCCGCGCTTCGATACATGTATTTGTTTTTACTGAATTACCAAATTATTTAAAGGCCTCAAAGGGCACCAGTTTACTCATCCAATACGGCAGAGACACCAAGCTGTCACTGCCAACATTTTAATCAACTTGTCGATGTTCAGTAATACTTCTGCACAGTAAGTAACAAATCGAAGTTTTCAACTTCGCATCTACAGTTTCTGGTCATTTGACTTTTCCCTCATGGGCGTGTAATAAGAGTCATCTTTTGCGTCTATACATGTACCAGTAAGAGTAAGCCAATCACACAAACAAAAACTCGCTATAAATTACTCTAGAAACCAACGGCGTCTCTGTCCGAATTACTCTCGGTTGTTGCGCCTCTCTTCTCGTTTCTCCTCTCTCCTTTGCTGCCTCCTCTCCTCCCGCGTGAGCTTTCGCTCGGTGGCCGCCTTGGTGGTGGTCTCCGCCGGCCCACCGTCCCGGTCGGGCCGCTCCCTCCGGCCCGGCCGGCCCCGCTTGCCCCCTCGATCCTTCTTGGGCTTCTTGCCGCCGCCGGCCACCGTGGCCGGCGGCTCCGAGGACTCCACCGCTTCGCCGGGGCAGGGCTGGCCAAACTGCCGCGTGGCGTTACGGAACTCCCGGGACTTGGTCCAGATGTGCACGTAGGTCATGTACAGCTTCTTGCCATCCCGGTGGCCCATGACCAGGAAGTTCTCCCGGCCGGGCTGAAGCATGTCGCAACCGCAGTTGGCGCCCTCTCGCGTCAGGAATCGCATTTTGTTCAGATCTTTCTGTTTCAGGCTGCCCTGCTTGATAACCAAATACTTGCCTTCGTTGGTGTCTCCGACATATTTCTTGCCGTCTGATGTTTCTTTGACCTCTTTTAGTCTCATCTTCAATACTGCAGAAAAGGAGAGACCCAAAAAATCTTATTAGCACTAGAAATGAAAGGACGTTATGAGTGTCAAAGGAACTCGCTAAGAAGATCACACGGCACCGTCTTGTGCGCAAATCTATCTAGGACACACGAGCATCCTTTTGTAGGTCGGGCATCCGTCCCATGCAGCATAGCCTGGGGGTGGAATATGCCTCCTGGCAAAGTCATCGCTTCCCACTCGAAATTTGGACAAAAACATTAGTATACCTCCGAAAATATTGGGACTTCCCCCCCCCCGTACCATCCAGCTCGCCCACGACTCACCCGCTAGGCTGTGAGAACCCCGGATACGCCATTGCCCCTAACCCCCAGAAATGCACCAGAATTGGGCATGGGAAAATTAGATTCAAAGTCAAAGTTAGAGCTGGAGGAGAGAAAGCACGTACAAACATACCACCACGTGAAGACAAACCACTATGCGCACATACGAAATAATTTGCTTAAAGAGAAGTTAAGCTACGTGACAACACTCAAGACTTTGACTCCATTACATTTGTCTTCCTTGAGCTTTTCTTCCCCTCTCTTCATCTCATTTTCCTTTCTGCGGTTTCAAACCCCCAAACCCAAGAATGTGTTTCACCGCGGGACCGGTGAGCCGCCGAGGTTGAATGTCATTGACAGCTGTGATAATACTTCCCCTGGCTTTCCAAACGAAGGCTGCTGTGCTGTTCTGCGGAGTGTGGACTAGCATCAATCACTCCAGCTGGAAATTATCTTAACATTTTTTCCACGCGTATTTTCTATTTTAAAAACAAGCAACGTCCCTTTTTTTCAACGACGGATTTCACAGAGAGGTAGACGTTTTCAATCAGTCAAAATTTTAGGTTTGGACTTGAAATACTATTAGTGTTCTGTATTTAGAATTCTTTCGGGGGGGGCACTGACATGCAGACTTACATAGAGTGACATGATGCGCTTTAACTGAGGAACGATTTCTATTCGAAACATTATCTTCTCTGCATTGCTGGCACTGGCAGTAGCAAGTCTTCCTCTGTAGTTTCTAGTGAACCGCTAGTAGAATGTGGCCATATTTTCTTCCAAGGTAAAACTGACTTGCGAGATGGCATTTGCTATGACCTAGCAACGGTTATTCGAAGCTGAGTCGAATTCTAGAGATATTTGGGACCCACTGAGCAAAAAAAAACAAAAGGCCCTTAAAGTCATGCTATGTCCCTGCATGCAACAGTCCATTCCGTGCATCTGCCAGAGATCAATTCTAAATTTTACTGTATGCCAGGAATAGAGTGTGCGACAGAGATCCACAATACACAAATGTAATCCTTATTAAAATGCCTCTCTATCCGTGGGCATCACTTCAAATCGATGTGTCACACATAAGCCCAAGGGCCATTTTTGCCGAGCCAATCACATTTGACAACACGATAAAGATTTTCAATGCATATACCGGTGGGCCACTGATGTTCCAACTCTAAATCGAAAGATGAACCCGTGTGCTCAACTGATGGTAACATAAAAACGAAAGTAAGTACATGTAATAGGGAGCAAGGTGAGGCGTCAACGGGAATGGCTGGTACAGAAATCGATGAAAAATGGAGAAAGATCGACAAGAGAGCGTGCTCAAGTATCTTTACTGTGTCAACAAACTTGTTGCGCGCCAAAACGAAAGTTCAAATTCCTCAGACGGAACATTACCTGTCAACATTAATCATTAATCAACGTCATCGAGACGGTGATTTCGTTACTTTTACTCTCTAAATCCCAAAGAGAGAAAATTCACTCTATTCGAGTGAAAACGCAATCCCTCTGATTGAAATTAAGGACCTGACGAATTGGAGTGAAATTTATTTACTCCAAAGATTGAAATTTCACTCCAGTTTCTACTGGAAGGGGCTATTTTCAGCCTTTTTCAGTCTAACTTCAGAGTGATTTTCACTCTGAGAACGTCTTGTCCCTAATTTCACTCTTTCCGATTTAGAGAGTACTTTATTGACTCTAAAATTAGGTTTTTAAAAATTGGAACAGTGTGTAAAAAGATAAACAAAACCGGTAAATAATGACGATTAACTTAAACAGGAAATATCAGTGGAGATAAAATATACCCGTCCCGTCCCCGATGTACTCAAAGGAACAAAGTGTACCTCTAGCTCGAGATACTCTCTCTGTGTTCTGTTTTAGGCAAAAATAATTACATCATATCCCGCATTTAGCGCTCGAGACGCTGCGCAAAATAGACTGACTAAAGAAACGACGGCAATCGGGCAAGCAGGCATTGATCAACAGCCGCCAGAGTTCGACGACAGATCTCTCGCGACTTCCTTCTGTCACAGTTGAAGCCTTCCGAGTCGAAAAGTAAACTAGTCCCGCCGAAAAAAGGGGGGACCATTTTTCACAAGTGCAGCGGACCGCGGCATCAACATGTCAGCCGGTGTCGGGCGTTAGTTTATCCGCCTCCCGGTTTGTGTATATTCGCGCTTTTCCCGTCGACGGTCCTTTGCAGTCACGGCGTGAGCATGTCACGGGGAATGTGACGTGCGGTGTGGCGCAGTGCCCAGCCGGTTTTTGTACAATTAATCACGGGCAACATCACGGCCACCGTGCAGCGACCCAGGGGTCATGACCCCCCGGGTCGTCATTGTTTTGACAACCAGTCCAGTCATCAATCAGTTATTATTATTATTATTATTTTTAGAACGCCGTGATGATGAGTTGACGAGCTGAAAACCAGGCGGAGAGCAAGTCGTTGCGCCACGCTAAGGCTGACGCGACAAAACTTTTCATTACATACACAGGGACAGTTCGTTTGTTTTGAATTTGTCTGTATACCTGTCTTCATTCGTTTGTTTGTCTATTTATAATTCCTGGGAGCAAACCTTCGAATGTCTCCAAAGGTCTCGTTCTATACGTCGAAGGGTCATCACTGAGTCTGACATTTTCTATTGATCCCCAATAATTAATGAGATTTCCAGCCAATTGAACACTGAAGGCCGCCGCAGAGGCCAAAAACATAACTGTAACCGACCTCCATGGACAAGACTAAAGCAGCTTAATTGCATTTCTATGTTTTTAATCCGGCACCAGGCCAGACACATTCCCCCCCCCCTCAAATTGGTCCGAAGGTCTGAAACTTACAAAAGACCAAACCTACGTGGAATGCGCAATGTCCGTGAGCTCTAGTTTTCTGCGTAGTCGTGGTCGTCGCTGGAGGATCTGCGTGTAGGGAGGGGGCGGGAAGTCACACCCCCCATTAGTCCGTTTTGTCGGTAAAATCATGGTGCTGTCGCTAATAATACAGAAGGAAGGGGGACGTCACACAAGTCTCAGGTAAGGGAACCAGACTACAATCATACACAGTTGGTCGGCAGATTTCAGGATGGCACCCCCCTTTAAAACGGTGTAACGACGACCGCGGCCTGCAGCCAAAAGCTAGGTTTACGAGTTTACAACTTAGGCGTGTACAGCAACTGATACAACTGCCTTCCCGTTGTTCCTTTCAATTTACGTCAGGCAAGACTGTAATGTTTTTTTTTGGGGGGGGGGTTGTTCTTGATCTGAGGGCAAATAGAGTACCGAAGTGAATACGTCACGCACACAATTAGTGTGTAAAAGGCATTAGCGCGAGAACCAGCGCGAGAACCAGCGCGTGAACCAACACGCGCGCGCGCTCCATTCGTTTGCACTGCACTTTCTGGTTCACAGTGACGTCACACCTCGGTACTCTATAAGGACTATGTAATCGTAGACACAATAGGTGTGCCCCCTTAAATACATCGCGTAGACGTCACTTCCGTCACTGTGCCAAACTTCAGCAGATCTGTATAAAGCATGCGCAATCCAGCGCCATGATGACAATATGTATAATTTGTAGATACCGATAAACCTGTGACGTTTTCACATGCACGGATGTATATCTTTATCAAGTACTTTTATTACAGTTCTTTACTGAATGCATGGCATGCTCACTACGCGTACCAGCGAATGGAATAAAAAAATGTTCAGTCTGAAATGTCAAAAATACAATAAAAGAGATGGGACTTCGTGTACCGTGCAAGTAACTACTAACGAGGGCGACTGGGAGAAAATTGTTTTGGTGATGACAAAAGCCGAAGGATAAGAGGGAATAATCACTTAATACGCCTCGTTTTGCGTTCCAATTCTTACGCCCCCTTTCTCTCTGCCCATCACCACTTGAGAAGCGGAGTGCTGCCCGGCATTTTCAACCAATTAGCAAGGTATTCCGTCTGTCCCCGGCTTGACCAAGAATGCGCAGAGGTGTCCAGAGACAACAGATGAAAGGCCTCTACACCGCTCCACGCCAGACTGCTGCGAGTCTCAAGGCTTCTGTCTAAAAAGTCGTCTAACAATGTGCCAAGAAAACCCCAAACCCGGCGATGTGTTTACCACAAAGAGACCGGAGGAAAAAAAAAAAGACCATATTTTTCTCGGTCGGGTGAGCGCGGTTTGTCGGGACACTTTGAGGTTACGGCGAGTCGCTCCAGGCGATCCGAAGTTTACTTGGCCCCGTCTGAGCCGCTTCAGACGCCCCGTTCTTGCCCGTCGGTTCGCTTTGCACGCGCTCTTGTAGTACTTCGGGGATAAAGCAGCTTCTTTGTCGGCTAATGTTTCCACGGAGTGCAAATGTAAAAACCAGAACAGAGGGGCGAAGAGGGCGAATCGCCCTTCGAAATCGGACCAACGGGGTTTACCTTCCGTCTTTAATTTGACCGATCCCTTGCAGCAAACGGGCTTCCTTTGAAACCAAGCGCACGTGGTTTGCAATTGAAAAGAAGGCCCACTAAGCACCCTGCACGGACGCTAGTTCCCCTCTTGTTTGGTCCTTGCTCTGCGTTTAAACCTGTACCGTAGACATTAGGGTAGCGATAATCTGGGGACGTGCCAAAGTGTTTTGAAATCAAAAGTAACAGAGGTCAATGTACATATATCTTCACGATTGATATTATAAGATATCTGGTCAGGTCTTAAGTATTTCCTGTCATTAATACATTAGCTCTTGCAAAGTCTCTTGTCACTGATGGTCAAGTCTGAGGTCATTCCAACAGTTAGTCAGTTAAGACTCAAGTTTCTCTTTAAAAAAATGCCGTCCTGTATTTCTAATCAAGAGTCCATGCTCGAATCTACTTCCACTCTCGCTCAGTCCCAAGTGGTCGAATCTCAAGTCACTCTGGTCTATAAATGGTCATATGTAACTCTGGTAATTCTCGGGTCACTCATATCCGCAAAGATCAAGTCTCAAGTCACTCAGATTAATCTCAAGTCATTCAGATCAAGTCTCTGTCCGCTAAGATCAAGTCTCAAGTCACTCAAATCAAGTCTCTGTCCGCTACGATCAGGTCTCAAGTCACTCAGATCAAGTCTAAAATCAATCTGGCTAATTTCCAAGTCATTCTAACGAAGCCTCAATTCCCCCGGCCAAGTATCATGACACTCACCTCGAGTTTTATTTAAAAAATCGTTCCTTTCATGTCAAAAAGTCAGTTTAGTCGAAATTCGAATCCAAAGTAAGTCTCAAGCCATTTTGTTACATTTTTAAAGGTTAGCTGCAATCAATTTGTTTTAAGACAAACCTTCAAAAGGTACCTTCGTGTCTCAGTTCAACTTTTCTTTCACCAATTCTACGGGCAATTTTTTGGCAATGAGCATTTCCATATTCATGGCAAACCTAGGATACTATTCCAGGGAGAAAGCCTCAGTGTTACATTTGTTTGTACACAAAACGTCCTGCATGTTTGCAGATTTCGCTTGGTTAAATTTTCTCCCCTTCTGATTCATTGTTGTTTATGTACGGTACATAGCAATAAGCAAGCATCAATTCCTTTCTCAGAAATGTTTTCAGTCAGTAAATTCAGGGTTCACAATTTGAACAGAAAAACATATGCACCGAACTATGTTTTCCCCAGATGTCTTCACAGCATTAGAAAACATAGACAATGTAAGTTATTTTAAAAAGTGCACTTTTCGATACATTTAACCAAATTGGAAAAAAGAGTCGTCACAAACTCAAGAAGAGTACAAAGTTGCGGGGAAAAAAATTGTGTCGAAGTAAATTTCATTGCAGCTGCCCTGGTCGTGCCAGGAATTTGTCACGAAACGGACGTCTTTTTGAGTGGACGATATGATTCTTTGTCAAACAGATGGTCTCGTATTCAGCTTCAGGAAAAACCTCCGGGATGTGACTGTTCCTTTAAGACACTGTCACCCAGCACTAAGATAAATACCACCATGATCCCCTGAGACAGACCGGGTCGCTCTGTGTGGATACGAGAGATCACGACCGCTGCATGCGAGGTTACGGGGTTAACAATATACGTTAGGGAAACTAAACATGCGCGGAGAGAAGTTTGGGAGGACAACAACAACGAACGGGAAGTGAAAACGCACTATCACTGTGTCATCCGTGGGGTGCTGTTATGTTTTATCTCTGTCAAAACTTGCCCCGATGGGCAGCTGCCAATAACCTCTTACTATCTCAGTCAAATGCACCTAACTTCCTGGACTTGATGCACGTCAGAAGCAACCACTTCAGCAGACACAATAGACCACACGCATGACGTGCATGAGACCAACTCTGTCCCAGAGCTTACCCAACACTCACGTATGGATTGAACAAATCGAGGTAAAGTCTATTGCTGATGGACACGAGCATGCTAATTTCGCAACCTCAACGGCAGAGTAGGCGTCAACACCGTCATCCACGCTGCGTCTGTGGGTTATGGCTACGACTGATGATACATCTGTGGAAGCCGCTGGCTAGCGGCTGCAGCCACTTCGCATGGATGTGTACGTTGCTCCCAGCCGTAGCAAGTTGAATAAAACAAGTCTAAATCTAAAAACACTTAATTTAAACATAAATGTGACCTCACAAAGTGCAGAAATTCATGGCTTATAATGGGTCGGTGTTCTCCAAGCCACAGGGGAGTTAAAGATTTTTATTTCAAGTGTCTGAGGAAGTAAGTGCTACCTCCTCGATGCGTGACAAATTCAAGAAGCCCGTTCCCACTTCGCCACCTCTGGGACTGTAAATCTCCAGATAATGGGCCGCTAGTTTGTTTAGAATGTGATCTAACGGAGATTTTTTCCGCCGCGCTCCGCGTGCCCGGCACTGAAGGACTTACGATGCTCTTGCCGACTGGACCCATTGACTTTATGACCCGCGGTACTGTGTCGTGTAGTCTTCACTGCAGCTTCGAATCGCCGACAGCACAGGTGACAGCTTGATATGGCTGATTTGTGGTGTTACTTGCGCTATTTGCTGGACACACCTTTGCCTTTGCTTTAAGTAACTTTGCAGCTACATCCATGCGGGAGAATCTTCAGAGAGTGCAGAATAATCGTAGTCTGTGAAATGGGTTCCAGACCGACAAAGCCAATTCAGACTTGAATCTAGCCTAAGCGACATGTCCCTGCTCGTGCCTTCGTTTATTATCATTCCCATTAAACTCATGACGTCACTTCCAAGGAGTCGCTCGTTTCACTTCAAAAGGTCCGGTATTTTAAGGGGGTGGATTCCGCACAAACATTTGAGGTTCGGTCGTGATTAGGGCCGGCGATAATTACGCATTTACGGCCAGAAGAGGCTCCCTGCAGCCGATGGTCTGAAAAAATACGAGGCTGGGTTTAAAAAGTGGTGGACGTAAATCACAAAAACAGTGTAAATACGTTTACACTTCTCGGACAATAATTCATTCTGGGAGCTGGCCATTTAAAATCAAAACAAGTTCGCTCGGTTGGAATCTTACTGTTAGAGGCGAAATAAAATGGGAGCTCATTGAGACTTAGAGGCAGCCGTCTATTTCCAGCCGATCTCTGATGTCGTGTCAATCTCTTCGAGTTCTCTCTTTGAATGACAGGAATGCTATCAATCATAACAATGGTATCGATCATATAAATAGGTACGAGACCCATCAACTTAGCAGTATTTATAGAGGAACCTAAAATTGGTTGGGACTGAAAATAAATCGATGGCCAATTAACCAAAGTTTCTAAAGGCGTCCAAAGCATTCCTGTTATTCAAATGGCGTTTGGACAATAATTGCAGAATATCTATAAAATGCACTGTTTATTTTGATCTCAGATATAATTCTTTAAAAATAAATACCATTTATTCACAGAGCATTTTTAAATACCCACTAATAGAATACACAGCTTAAAATATACACTATTACATAGCTATGCGTGTTTATCATGTACGCGAATATGAATTGCATCGTTTGCACAGTCATACACTTTAAATTAATCTTTCCTGCCATCTTTGAAATTGAGCCGATCTGGGAACGGGCACTGCTACATTCGGCTAGAATTACTCACCGTGACGTGTTTGTTTCATGAACCAAATGCACCATAATTAACTACCCAACTGGGGCACGGTACAATATCGAGACAAGATACATGTACGACTACGGGAGAAATGTGTTAACGGGAAAAAAATTTGAAACTGCTGTCGACTGAATACGCAACTGGGAAGTGGCAACGCGCTTATTTGTTATCCCACATGTGAAATATCTATGCATTTCCTTTACTTCACGTTTTTGTCATCATTTTATAGTGGAGCCGAAGAGGGTATCTTGCATTACAATTTCACTGTAGTGTCCGCAGATAGAAGACAACCAAATCAGAACAAAACCACAAGTGTGGATTTTTATTGTGTTTCTTTTTCAAACGCACTTACCAAAGTCAGCATTGCAGAAATATTCCACTATCGACGCTGCGTCGGCGTCATCGTGGCACTGTGTAAAGAGCGATCCCACCGCTGCCACCATGCCTGTTGGAAGGTAATCAACTAGAATTAGAAGGTATTCAACAAGGATTAGGGCCTAAAATGTAAGCGGCAAAAACAATCACCCTACGTAGCAGAAAATCACCTTCAACCGCATGGGACTGGTTCCAATAAGTCAGCATTATTGAACTTTCACCGAATTGAGTTATTTGAAGTTAGTCAGAAGCTGTTTTCAGATAACCACTTGTTATTAATGCAGAAAAAAAATCAGATTCACCAAAAGTCCTTGTTTAACACAACATACTCTTAAACTAGTATGAAAAATTGTAAGAGTTCTAGTCACTGTCATGTCACCCTCAACGGCACAAATTACTTCAAGAATGAAAATACCTACGAAGCTTTAACAGGCACGCGTGAAGACTAAGATATCACGGCAATCGTTTGGACCGAAACACCCTCTATTGGTACATGTCAAATCACTGAACATCTAGCCGTTCAACACAATTTGGGAATCCCAGTAAGTTTTGTCCGGAATAGTTTTTCTGACAGAATCAATAATCAATTTTTCTAGCATTTCGTTTTTTAATTTATCGAATTCATTTTGTATTTTTGAAATTTCCCCTAAAATAATGCAATTTTAGATCGTTTAATACTTGTGTATACACGTGACGTCATAGAGTGCCAACTCCGAAAATGTGTGGTGACAATGACCCTCTCACTGACGCCGAACTGAAAGCCATTTCCAAATGCAACCAAAAGAGGGCGCTCGATACGGAGCAAATGGTGACGTCATCTATTCTATGAACAGCAAAGTGAAAACCTGCCTTTCATTGGACGGTGCTTGGAGACCATAGGGAGGGCAGTGGTCGGCAGTGAATTAGCATCTACGCATCGCGAGGGAAGAAGAGTTGAAAGAAAGAGGGTGAGGGTTAAGGTTTCACTTCATGAAATGCAAAGTCATTTATTATGCCAAGACATAGAGATAGGCACTAGGCAGTCAATTTGTTGGCGTGGAAAGGTGAGCATGGGGTGGGGCACCAGCGGTGACCAACCTCTTTCTACGGCACCGTGAGTCGCCAGTGTAAAACTGAGGTTTAAATGACAGTGATGAAACAGTTGGAAGTCTCGAGAAGAGAAAAGAATTGTTATGTAACACACTAATCTGTTAAAGCTAATGTGATCTTCTATTATAATTATGAGACAATGTTTATTCAAGACATTTATATTGAGTTGGGACGAGGGATGAGAAAAGGAGATCGCAATCAAAACCCTTCACACGAGTAGTTCAATGGTCAAAGACCTCCGAGGTTGCTGACACGGGAGTTAGAACAGATGGATCGTTTGCCTAAGGAAGGGATACGTGTATGGGGAAGGGGATTGATCGCTTCGGTCAGATGACAACTTATCCTCACTGGCTGTTTTGAATAACTAAGAGACTGTAATTAGCATGTAGGTGATGCTGAAAGAGAAGATCTTGCTCTAAAGAAGGGATGAGTATAGATACGAGATAGAAACGGTTTTAAGGGGGTTAGTGGGAAATGTCGACTGCAATGGAAGAAAGAACCCTGTGAAGGAAGAAGACAATTAGGAAATCTGTAAACAAAATATGAACTTTGGTTTATCACAAATTCGTTCATTCATCCGTATTCTATTATTATTAATCCATGTAAAAAACATAGAAATTTAGCTTCCAATGGTATATTACAACAATCAAAAACTAAAATCTTAGTCAATAAAATATTTTAAAAATACAAAAGGTAAAACCAGTCACAGACTGACACAATACACTTCAACCTCAAAAAAGGAAATAAAATGTTCGCAACATTATGCACAAAATAAGAGGGGAAAAAAAGAATATCGAGAGAAGACCGAAGTTATTAACGCCCACGATGTCTTGCTCGTTAACAAGAGAGGGCGTTTGGTTACATAGCAACGGCACACTGTCACGCCCTTGCTCTCAAGCGTATACTGCGTGGATGGTGTGAGAAGGTGCAGCACGAGGAGCGGAAACATCCTTCGCAGCTAATGCTAGCGAGTCGCACGTCTGGTTCTGCTTCGCGAGGGTGTCAAGCTTGCAAGCTGTGCGAACAAAATGTTTCCCATTCTTCTCCTTTCCACACCCCCCAAGCCTGCATATTGAATATTTCCCCTGATCCCGAGCAGCCGTGCTGAGCTTCAGGCGAGGGGTTCATGGGCACAGCCGGAGCTGCGATCCGTCACATCCTGTACTGGTAAGGTCCCAGCGCGTCCACTGCACTTAGGCGTCAAATGTCACTCTTCAGAAGAGCCATTCTTTTATTCTCTCCGACGTGAACTGATTATGTGATATTTCGTTCTCTCTTTCATCAGTTGAGCGGGATATCGTTAAAGCACGATTAAAATTTGCCATGGAGGGGGCATTTTTTTTTAAGTCTTACGGTCGCCAAAAGCATGGCCGCCCGTGCCGCGATTTGCATTTGACCATAATAATGTAGACAATCTGTGCAAAGGTTTCACGGATAGGCACATAAAAGGAACAGAAAAATTATTTCAAACTGTAACTCGAAATAAACTTACGAATCTTCTTTTTCCTTGACCAACAAGACATCGGGAATTTATCAATCGTAGCCCACAACATCTTGGTAGCGCACCGTGTTGTGAATCGCTCGTATCAGGGTTGTGTCGTAACATAACACGCCACCATGCGAGATTATACGCCTTGAGCAGAAGCACCCCGTCATCGGTTAGAAATAGTCATGTTGGTCGGGAGTTTTATTTTGTTGGTAGCAATGCGACCGTAACGCCTGCATTTCATAGTCGTTCGTGAACCAGCGAAGTTCAGTTCCGACCAAAGGATCCTCCGTTGTAATTGTGCCCTCTCTTGGTCCAACTCGAGGCTGATAGGCTACACGCATCAATAATTAACATGCATTTCAAGGTAGGCATTTCAGGGCAGATTCAAACCACTTGTCTGTTAAAACATACCACACCGAACATTTCAACCCTTTGCTGTAAAATGACATACAATTTGTATAGTTCTCTTGAAATGCATGGTTGAAAGCGCATACTATTATGCTTGTACGTGAAAACAGTTATTTGCAACCCAAGAACACAAGTTCTACTGAACTGAACTGCAACGAGTTCAACGAACTGAATTCAAGGAGAGGCGTATTGCAGTTGATAAAGTCCAACTTCAGTCCGTCTTCAAAACGACTTAAGTGCTCCGAGTGACAAAAGAAACATTATTCAACATGTTTAGGGTAACACAGGGAAACAACCTGCAAAGTTGCAATCGCTACAACTTATAGTCTCGCACCTCCCTACTCAATAAAATGGCACGATCCGGAGCAGAATGGCCTATCGCCATCTTCTTAACAGGGACAAGCAGTGAAAAAGAGGCTGAGCCGTATACAGGCCTACAAAAAGAAAAATCATGCAGCTGTCTCCTTCCAGGTAACAGTCGGTCGATTTTTTTTTCACCCGAAAGCGGTAACTCAAAAGGTCGTTGGGTTAACACCGGGCGTAAGCTCTTAAGACTGGGGATACGATCGTGACGGATTGGTGTTGTGTGTTCGTTGTCCATCTTATTAACCGCATGGCTTCGGGGGAAAAGTCCATATACTTGTCGATAACTTGTCACACTGTTTGACGCATCCCAGCTCCCAAACTACATTCTCCAATAAACCAGACACAGGTTTATATTTTTTTTCAAATTTTTGCAGACTGATCAACACTTCATTGGTACAAAAATTCGATACAATATAATTCTGATTGACAGTTATCCATGCCAGTATAGCGAGACAGAATTGCGCTGTAGTTTTTTTACAAAACAAATGCATTTGGGGAAATGCAACCGCACTGAATTCAATAAAACGTATAAGACAAGGACTCGTGAGTGTTATAGTTCGTGTCAGTTTCGTTCACTTCCATAAATATATTTTTCAAAGTTAATTGCATTATTAATCACCGTTCCTCTTTTTGCAAGAAATCCATGCTGAGACTCAACTCGTCAGATGGTTTGGTTTCACTTTCAGTTATTCCATGTTTTGATCTATTCTTTAGTCCTCAACAGGATAGGGGCCTAACAGTTTTTTTTCTTTAAAAAGTGATTTATAAACTTCATGTTCTGTGTTAACTCAAAACGACGAAATAAACGCAGCAATAATCCCATTAGTAAAACGTTCCGGCCAATAACATACTATCAACGAGCGACTCTTGCCCAATCACAGAAAGGGTTTTCTGAAATGCATTGTATTTATATACGAGCGAACAGGCACTGTGATCTTTCAATGGCCATGCATACCAACTAAAACACACAATCACAAAGGCATATTACGATGTCTTAATGCAACACAGGGATCGCTTTAAAGTAAGTTCCGGGAGGACATTGTCTTCGCCTGTTTGTAGTATACCTTGGACAATTCAGAGGAAGCAAATCAAACGGTAATACTAACAAAAGATTACAATGTCAGTGGCTTCTAAGACAACTTCTCATGAATGTTATTCAATGAAGTTGTTCACGGTACATGAACTTGGCACAGGAATCTCAAGTAAAAATTCCTTCGAGACATAATGTGACAACGCAGGGGTCACCGCTTTCACATTTCGGCTATATTCACATCCTTCTCTCAAAACAGTCGTGCTAATATTGTCGAATCATCCGCGACACGGCACGCACGCAGCCTCTCCTGAATGTCACACGCGTGTTCAAGAGTGGGGCTTTCATCCAAATCTCGGCGGAACTTTTTTTTTTTTGAGTGAAGGTGAAAATGAGGGACAAATAAGCGCATACTGGGCGTCGGCAACAGCAACCCAACCGTATCGACTTACATGTTTACATTCACCGGACGGCAGCCACCAAAGGGAAACATGTTTACCTCGAATGATAAATCGGCGCTCATTTTTCAGATTGTCAGCTAGTGTGTGATCTCGCGCCCAAGTCCTCTAGTTTCGCGGCTCTCCCAACCAAAACAAGGAGGGAGTGCTTTAGCTTCCCGGCTGGTTCTGCTGGTCCCGTAAACAGACTCCGACGGAGAACTTCATTCCAGATGGCTGCAGCTGTGTCTGCGCTGGGCTACATTCCGGCATAATGCGCGCCGTTTTATTATTGAACTTTGATTGTCGTCTACCAGTGAAGATAAAAAATCTGTGTTCAACTGCGACGTGCTTAAAGGAGCGTTGTATTTTGGAAGTAATCGTACGGCCATATACCTAGGCTAGGCATGTTATGTAACATCAATGAAAAACTCTTCTCGACTGTGGAACTTAATTTCAACACGCTTGGCGCAAAAAAAGCCTATACAAGCTGAATAATCTTTTGTCGACTCCAGTTTTCCCAGACGAACACTGTTTCTTGGGTTAGTGACGTCAACATCTGTGGGTGACGTATACTTCGCTAAAATGATGAAAACACACACAGTAGACTAGTAGGCCTACATGTATACGGGCTCACGTGCCTCGCGTGACGTCTGCGCATGCTGTTGATACCTCGTTGTCAACAATCGTCGGATACGAGGACGGTAGTCTCCGCACGGAACAATATTTGCTGGTTTCGGTGATTCGAGAACAAACTGGATTAAATTTGCAAATTAAAAGACTCCCTTTACTACACGCTTTGGCGATTCACACAATGCAAAGCATGGCTGAGCATGGTAGCAAGATCGCAAGGATTGAGAACCAGGTATAGGTGTTACTCTCAGTAAAATCGAGCACACTGTAATGAAAGACGTAACGTCTTTAAGATCGCACGCAAATTACACAAACACACAAACTATCATGACATTATTGTCCAGCTAAATAACACGTGGATCGAGTCTGTACGGATGGAATGGTGCAGACAGCCTTCGACATGGCATCTAATGCAATGCCTTGTCATTGACACGTCGTTGGAATTCGCTAAGAAGTC